CCCAGGGGTCCGGTGGGGTGGCGGGGGGCGGGGGGGGGAGGCAGCGAGAGGGCCCTGCCCCCTGGCACTTAGCTCTTGACTCTGTGAGACTGACTCCATGCTGGGGACAAAAGCGCAGACCAGACTTGAGGACTCCAGAACAGACGGGGGTGGGGGGGTGGGGGGGATATCTTGAAATAGGATTTGAGAGAGAGCAAAGCACGAGGAAATTTGATCCTGGTATTAATTCATTCAGGAAACAATAATTCTCCTAAACTATAGTAGCTGCATTTATTTCTGTCAAATACGTACACACATTCACACGCGTTATCCCATCTTGCAGATATGCTGGAGTCTTTAAAGGTGATGCACAAACAAAGTGAAAGTTGAGAGATTTGTGCCCAGTCAAAAGAGGTCGAGGAGTTTGCAGCTGGGTTTTTGAGTTTGCTGGGTTTTGGGTGGTGGTGTTGTTTTCTGTTTTGAGAATCAGGTGATGAGCACCCGAAGTGGAAGTGCAGGTCACCACCAACAAACGGATGCAACCTTAGTTTGAGGCTGTAGTTAGAATTCAGCTGATACAGTCTTGCTTCTCTGGAAAAATCACGTGTAGCGAAAACGTAGTACGTTTGGGCCACTTTTCTCCCCTTTTAAGCCCCACTCTACTCTTGAAAATATCCACCACAAATAGTACGGAAATCTATAAAAACTAGTTTTAGAAAGTCCTCCCTAAAATCCTTTCAGACTCATCCTTGCGTTGAAAAAGAAGAATCCCCTATGGAAATCGTCTCTTCCCTTGGGCTTCTTTCTTCCCCGAGGGCTTCTCCAGGAATATGCGATGTGTTGCTCTTTTATAAGGAAAAAATCTCTATGAAAGGGAAGTTGGTCCTCTACTAGGGTTGTGTTTTGGTGTTTGGTTTTTGTTGTTTTTTTTTTTCTTTTTTCTTCTTCTTCATTTCCCCCCTCCCTCAAGTATCAAAGATGCAGGAAGAAATAATTTTACACAACACACACACACACACACACACACAAACACAATGACAGTTGGAGAATAGTTTCAGAAGCCCCAAATTCAGCCTAACATCTATTTTCATTTTCCTTGTCTTTTCTTTTTTTAATCATGGTCCTAAGCAGTTGACTATCATTTGCTTTAAACACATGGCCACTCTATATACATGAACTAGGTCGTTTTCTATCTCAGTATTCTTCTGTCTGTCCACTTTACTGGCCCTGAGCTACTCTTGAAGGGAGATCTAAAACCATTTCTTTGAGTGGTGAAATAATGGTGTTCTGAACAAGAGAAGGATTTGGGTACACATGATGGGTGGTGAGAAGGGGAATTTTACTCTATTTATTAATATTCCACTTAGGTATAATTTTTTTCTCATCTTGAGAAGGAAAAAAACCTGACAAAATCATAATCTTTAATGGGGTCCTTAGCTCTAACTCTAAGCTCTAACCTGTGAACATGGAAAAACAAAACACCTGAAAGCAAGCTTCTCCAGCAGGAAATCCATAACAGGTCTTTTTTTTTTTTTTTCTTCCCTCTCTGGGTGGGGTACAAAGAGGAAAGCATTATTAAAAACAGTAATAGCAACAGAAAAAGTAAGATAGCATATCTGCCCAACAACAAGTTGAATTTCATTGAAATTCACAAGAGGGAAAAAATATCTCTAAGCATCTGAAGAGTTGATGCAGAGGTGTGAGAACTGCTGTTACCTAGTCTCTGGGGTGGTTTCATTGTTCCAAGTGGGACAGTTGGGCGATGTTGGGAGTGAGTTTGGATTTGCCTGTAGTAGGGAGTGGTTGTCTTTTTTTAATGACTCTCCTCCACATTCTCCTCCTTCATTCCTTGACTTGTAAATCTCTTTTCACATAGTTCTAAGTGATTGGAAACATGAATATGTTTCAAGTGTCTAGCTTATATCATTAAGCAAATTAAAGAACACATTCACTACCCCCTTCTCAGTAGCACTACCATCCCTGCACCTGTCAACTCAGAGAATGAACATTTTGGTTTTATATGTTGTGCTTTCTGCGTCTCAGATCTATTGCAAGTTGACCCAATTTTTCTAGCTCTTTTACCCAGGACATGAGCATTCTTCCCCGAAGCCACCTCCCCCCACCCCATAACTGAGTGGCTTATGAGGAGATCTGTAACTGGGATGAAGCAGCTGTTGGCTTCATGCCCTCCTCTAACTTGATTATTCTTTGGACACGTTAGGCAGGCATTAGTGATTGATAATGACGCTAATTAACCCCTTTCCTTTCCAAACAGTAAACTGCTGCCAGCAGGATGCTACAAACAATAAATATAAAACAGCGCATACATCAATATCTGTTTAAAGCACAACTTCATTTGGGCATATTTAACCATAGTGCTTTCCGTTAACAATTTAGTATTTAAGCCTATAAAGGCCGAGGGAAACAGAGGAAGAGAGAGGGTTAAAAAAGAGGGCCTATGTCTTTAAGACCACAAAATGCAGCCATACCTGTTAGCTGCTACAAAGTCAAGCTCTAATGGAAACCATGCACATTTAAAAAAAAAAAAAATCAGGTCTATACTTTTAAAAAATTTAATTAATCCAGCTTGGTTCTGAACCTATTTAAATTTAACGCAAGGCCAATGACTACATATGATTCTTCTAGGTGGGGGGAAGGCAGCTCTCCTGACTGACATAGGACCATTGTGAATTTACTTTTGACTGAGAAAGGAATGGGGAGACATAATTTCAGACAGAGCGATGAAATTTAGATTTTAAACAGGAATTGGGGAAAGCAGGACACATTTGATCTGACTGTGCAAGCTGACAGAAGCTGAGCTGTAAAGAAATGTACATTAAATTTAGAATTTTGATAAATGAATATTCCTAGCAAGTGAATAAAATGTATTCAATTAACTAAAACCCGGTGCACTTCTGAACTGAAGTAGAATTGACTGTAATTGATTTATTTGAAACCAGAGGTTAAGGACTGAATTAGCTAAGTACAACTGGGTATTTCTAGCCACTGACTTCTCAAATGTCAAATCCCTTCAATTTTAAATATTATTTCAGCTGCGGGGCATTGCGGTCCTGATGGTAGTTCCATCAAGAACTCAAATTATATTCATATTCGATTTTGGGGAGGAGTGGATTGGATTGTAATTTTTAAAGGGTGTTAGAGAAAAGAGGGTTTCTAACCCTGAAAGGAACATCGTTTCCATAAAAATTGGGTGTGGTAATTAGCATAGCCTAGCAAGCATCCTTATAATTCAACTATGTACCCTAATTTGAGTTAAATCCAAAGAAGAATCACTATTGTTAGCATATAAACACACAACCAGTCAGGTAATCACTATGCGTTTTGAAAAGTTCACATTAACTGTAACAGAGAAAGGCAAAATACACAAAGCCAATAAAAATTATTTTTAATAATAATTCTTTTATCCTCCCAACCTTTATAAACATACATAACGTCTTTTAAAATCTTTTCAGAAAAAATAAAAAAAAAGAGTAACAATATAAAAATTCTCAGAATGTCCAACAGCAGAATAAAAAGAACTAATTCTTTGCATTTGGAAACCATTGTTTATTATGACCTTGTAATGGTGTAACCCACTATTTCCTTTCTGTCTTTCTCAGGATGCAAGGATTATATTGGGTTCAGGTTTTCCAGCATAACAAGCATCTGTAAATCCAGATATGAATGAATGGTATTTAATAAGATTGTTTTCGTTTTAAAATGAGTATTTATGTGTCGTTGGAGAAAGAACAGCAATGTATGGCTGTTTATGAATGCTATTGTGCCTGAGGTTAGGGTCCCCCACACAATCTGAGATGCAGCCAAGAAAAACAGCCCTGATAGACAATGCTTCACTTCACCTGCTACAGTGCTGTATGCATTTCATTTCTGTCAAGAGTATGTACAGTTAGGGTTCATTCGCCTCATTATTTTGTTACATCTACGTTACAGTTAACCAGTCTCTCTAGGAAATAATAAATAACCGCTTTAAAAAACAATTGCCATGTTGCGTTCTGAGGCTACAGTTTCCATTTGAATTTTTTTTTAAACCCACCATTGTTATGAACTCTCTGGCTTTGGAAAATAGAATTTAGACTCCACTAACTCTCATTCATTTGTCGAGATTGATTTTGCACTGCCTCCCATAAGGAGATTAGAAAGCAAAAGGCTGCAAAATGGACACTATCTAATGCTTTGCTTCCTCAGTCCTTTGGAATATTAAGCCATATGAACAAATGACAAATGTCGTCTAGTTGTTCTCAATACCTGCCAGTATATTTTTCCTATGGCCTTTTCTATAAGCCTTCCAGTTAGCCACCTCCATTTCCTTCTTTAAAAACATTGGAAGTACCTCTCACTTCCAAAGCAAAGACTTTCTAGATAGATTTTTAAAAGCTCTGCATCTGCCTTCTTTCTGTCCAGGAAGTCCTCCCTCCTCTAAGAGCCAGCACACTGGGGTCCTGCAATTGTAGAAGACAGAAGTCTTTTTCTGTTCATGGGGGCAGGACTCAGTCTCCCTCACTGGGCTCTGCAACCTACCTCAGTCTCTTTTGTATGTTAAAAAGCCCCTGGGAGGTGGCAGATAGGAAGGGGTAGGCTGACATTTAGAGGGCAAGCAGAAAATATTCCAAGGGACAATGTCATTTCTCAGTGCCCTCTGTTACCTCAAGAGGTACTTTAAGAAGAGCACACTGTGAATCCCTCTCTAAATATTAAAATACATGGGAAACAGCCCTCCCTTTTGGGTCTCTTCTATTTCTGTCACTTCATCTTTTCTTCTCCCAGTTTTTTGACTCATTTACATGTCTTAGCCACAGAGAAACCTAAGTGACTAAGTATTTCCTTTGTGCTAATGAACTAACAATTTAAATTTCTATTCTCCTCTGAGACAAATTTCAAATAATGTAGTTAATAGGGGGGTTGTTCTTCTCATCTCCATCTTCCTTGTCATCCTTAATATTTAGCTCTGATGGTTTATATTCAGATTTCCCAAACACAAATGAAAACCTAAGGGATAAACATAAATAAAATAAAACTTTATTTTTAATAATAAAATGAATGTTTCAAGTAAGGAAAAGATAGTATGTCATTCCTTTAGCAGTACAAACAATCTTTTATCCAAAAGAATATATTGAGTTTTATTGTATCATTTGTCTGAATGCAGACTCAGTGGAATATCTAAATGATACCCTGCTCTGAACTCCAAGTTGAAAGTAAGTTTTTATTATACTTGAGGGAAACAATGGGTTCAGCTGCTTATTGCAAGGAGCAATTGCCAAGGGAGAGTTAAACTCAATTACTGTAACCATACTGAATAAAAAATACTGCCAAGAACAAAAATACGCCTGGGTAAAGACAGCCACTGAATAAAAAAAAAAAATCGACATAAAGCGTATCAAATATTTATTTATCTGGGCAACAAAGGACTATGATACATTGACAGGCATGGTGACTACCGCCAGCACAGCTCAATACAATACGACTAGAACTGCTTCCAATACGGCCAGTGAAGATACAGAGTACCAGGTGGTCCCAAATGTTTGAAGTTCTTTGAAGAGAAAGAGAGAGAAAGAGAGAGAGAGAGAGAGAGAATCCCTAACCCTTGGTTTAAAGACAATATCCATTTATTGCTCCAATGATGCTTTTTAAGGGAGGACAGTAAAATAAAATAAACTTTTTTTTTCTCCCCACAATACATAGAAGGGCTAAAAATATCCCCTCAAGTTAAAAAAAGAACAAAAACAAAACAAAAAAACTCTGCAGGGTCCAATATCACTTTTGTTTTCTTTCAAGTTCACTGAAAAAGCTAAACTGTAATACTAATTATATAAAATTTTATTTTACTCTTTTAAAATTTGTTCAGTTGTTTTATTGTTGCCTTTAACATGCTACAACAGGCCTAAATTCATGAATCCCAGAGGAAAAAAAAATCAATCCCCCAAACCTTGGATTTCTAAATAAGTACCATGAGCCACATGAAGAACTAATAGGGAAGATTCAAAACCCACTAAACAAGAGGTAAACGAGATCACCAGATAAATAAAAAAAGGCTTAAAACAGACTCACCATATTTACAATTCCCATTAAATTACACATAAATAAATATATACAGAGACATGAACACTGACTCCCTTATATAACCGTGAATCGTGTTGCCAGAGACAGTTCAAGTTGGTGGCTTTACCTTGAAGAGGAAAAACTTCTACAACTGAAGACATGACATGGAACTTCGTGTATTTTGTTCAAGTTTATTCACAATACTGATAAAAATGTCATTATCCTTTTTTACTTTTTTTAAAGTATGGCTACAATCTGAACTGAAGTATGTAAGGGAAGATGGTGATTCAGTCCTATGAAGCTCATATCATTTTTTTTAAACTTTTATGTTCTTTTTTTAGAAAAAAAGTTTTTGTTTTGTTGTTGTCTGTTGTTGTTGATTTGCTTTTTTAAAAAAAAAAAAGAGTTCACAAACTCTGACAGAACTTTTCTTTGCTGGCTTCACGGCCTGTTCTGTTCTCTTAGGCTCCGTAGGAGGGCACAAGGGGAGGCTGGTGCTGATGGGGAGGTTGAGGCAGAGGGGCTGAGTCAGCAGTGGCTGTCCCTCCCCTGAACTTGGTGGACCAAGGGTAAAGGTGGCAGTGGCAGTAGCGGCAGCAGCAGCAGCAACAGCAGCAGCAGGAGGAGGGGGCTTCCCAGAGCTGTCGCCTGAAGAGTGAGTTGTGGGAGCAGGAGAGGGCTGGTGGGTGCTGGGGGCTGGTGGTGAGGTGCAGGAGCGCGGGAACAGGGCCAGCCGCACCCTTCACTTTCTATGTTTCTCCTCTTTGTCACTACTTTTGGCGCTGTTGTCTGTGTGGCTGTTGGGGTTGTTGCTGAGGTACATTTTGTCCATGGCCTTGAGGGCCTCAGTGAGATAGTTCTGCAGGGCTGTAACGGCGGCACACACTGCTGGGCTGCCGAAACCATGGGAGATGAGGTTGAAATGGGTCAAGCAGCTCTGGATGCCTGGCTCCAGGATGGGGTTGGGCCGGGAGTTCCCCAGAGGAGAGCGGTCCTGGGCCAGCAGGTCGGTGAACTCTTTGCATATCTGTCTGCGGGACACAGGGAACAGAAAGAAAAAGAAAGAGAGACAAGTGAGGCTCCCCTGTGAGTAAAACTACATACTGCATCTTGAGAGCCTCAACCCTGATCCTGGAGACCCTGACTCAACCCATGCTCTCAAGACTGGCCTGGTGGTGGCTACCTCAGCTGGGAGACCCCATTATCTGTCAGCCTTCACAAAAACATCTTTCCTTCATTAAAACTATGCCCTTCCTACATTTATAGATGTCTCTCATGGCCACAAACGGCTAGTGCCCGACTGCTAATGTAGAGGTTGGTGGTTTAAAAATACGTACCCAGAGGCACAGTGGGAAAAAAGCTCTGGCTATATGCTTCTTTAAAGAATGTTATTCTTATGTGCCACTGGGTTGGACAGAACTAACTCTTAGCTGACCCTCCAGTGGGTTTTACAGAGGCTGCAAATCACAAAAGAGGAGATTGTACCATCTCTTTCCCCAAGGAGCAAGCGGTAAGATTTGAATCACCTGCCTTTGGGTTGGCAGCACAAATCTTTATCCACCAGGTCACCAGAGCTCCCTCTGTCTTTAAAGATTACAACTATAAAATCTCTATGGAGCACAGTTGAACTGCGTAGCCCAAGGGGTCATCGTGAGTCAGAATAGACTCTATGGCAACAATGGAGCAGCCATCAGCTGTCCTGTTTAGGAGACTCTCTTTACTGCTCCTTTGCAGAGAATCAGTTATCATCAAATCAGGTCATATTCAAACACTATGCTTGGGGATTATTTTGCCTTGCATTAAAAAAAAAAAAAGATTTACACATAAAAAATAAGCATTTTCTGATGGTTACCAGACATAGGAGGGGTAAGGGAGAAGGGAAGAAATCATTAAATAGTGACAGACAAAAACCAAGAAACAGGTGCAAGAATACCTACTACTTGGAGATGATTCATTCACGGTGATTTAAGATAGGGTAATGATGGGCAAGGTCTGATGACGATTAATTTTATAAAACAAAATGAATGAGAATGATTGTATGAAACACAATGTGAATGAAGAATTGTGTGAAACACAACGTATAAAAATTTTGTAAGCAGTCCAATTAAAAAAAAACACGAAAGAATAGACATGTTCATTTTCTATTCTGCTTCTTTCCCTCCACATACTTCCCCCCCACCCCCATATACCGTTTTTTGTAAAAAAAAATCTTTGGGAAAGTGGATGTGAAGGTGCTTGGGAAGCTAAGGGAAGAGAAAGAGGTAAAATTTTAGAGAGGGTTTTTCAAAGTGCATTGATCGACCTGCAGGCAGCTCTTTCCCTGAGTCTGGAAGGTTAAAAAAAGCTGAAGATTTCCTGAGGTGGCAGCACCTGGCCTAAGGAGGGGCAGGTGCACTGACTGCTTCCTACTGCAAAGCCAGCTGACAGCACTAGTCCAGTCCTAGGCCTCAGCCTCTGCCCTCTGGTTCAGTGCCTTCATGTGACATCTATCTGACAATGAAGGGGTTCCAAACAAGTGTTTTAATTTCCAGAAAATATATCATAACAGTCATTTTCTGTTCACATGCTACCTGAGGGAGGCTTTCAGCCCACATTCTAAGGAGACTAGAACTTGGGCCATTTTGAAACCTAGTTGACCTCTCATGTGTAGGTGAAAACCTCTCTCTCTCTCTCTCTCTCTGTGTGTGTGTGTGTGTGTGTGTGTGAGAGAGAGAGAGAGAGAAGAAAAAGTATAAAATGGAATAAGGTTTAGGGTTGAAACTAGGACAATTTCTGGCTTGCACATTTTGCAGGCCACTGATTAATCTTTGCCCTTGGAGGACATACTGATAGGAGACAAAAATGGATCTAGGCAAGCTTATTACCCCATGGGGTTCTTTCTGACTCTGGTCTTTCTAAAACATACCTATAAATCCAAACTTAAGCTTCTATCAAATCACTGCCAATACATTGTACCACCCATACACTAATGAAAAGGGCTGGGGGAAGGCAAAAATAAAAAAGAGGGGAGTCACATTGACAGCTTCATTCAGAGATCAGTTAAATGTTCATAGTAAACATTAACAACAAAGCCAAGGAACACAAGAGGGGAAAATGGAACAGGGGACAGCAAGAGAGTAAATGAGGAAGACAAGGAAAAGAATAGAAATTATTTTTGTTTCTCTTGACAATGAGACATAGAGACCCCTCTGAGGTAAATGCCTTACTTTGTAGCCAGGAGCATGTTTTTTCTTGTCACTTGCTCATTGGGATCGGAATGTTGCCGGTTGAGAAATTCAGCTACTGCTTTGGCAGGAAATTCAGTTTCACACACGTACCCAAAGTCCCTGGCTAGGTGGACAGCTTCTCCTGGCAAGAGGCAGAAAGAGGGAGGTGAGTGCGAGAGAATGGAAAGATTAGGGAACAAAACTCATAGTGAAGGAGCTAACACATGATAATCTAGCTTCCTTCTCACTCTTAGATTCCTGGATTTCTTAAGCCAGTTGCTGATGGAAACTACTTGTTTCTCATCCTTTTACTTCCGTCTCTGTAGAATCTAGTGGATGTATCTATAACATACTGTTATAGAAGCCCAAGATGATGCAGAAATCTACATCCTGTCCTTTACTCCAACCCCATCCTCCACCCTGATCATCAGTTTTGCAACCTCTCTTTTAAAATGCTCCTTGTTTTCCAACCTCACACCTATCAACACAGGCATAAATGATATTCGTAATTACTCCTGGAGCTTTTCAGCAAGAGAACAACTAAAGGTTTAAATTTTAACTTGATCGCATATAATTATCTGTTCATCCAAAACGATTAACCAAGAGGATTTGAGGGTCACTCCACTGAGTCTGTCTGTGTTGTTGATTTTCAAATCTTTGGTTTTAATTTCCTGAACCAGTTGGTTTTTACTGCAGGGCTTCCTGCCATTAGCTCCAGCTCCGGAAGAACGCATGCGCCAATTAGAGCATCAAAGCCCTCTCCGCAGAGCTTGTTTCCATAAAATGGAGCGGATCACAAACAATAACAGTTCTCCAGAAACTGCCTCCCTGCCACAAGACTCAAGCCCCAAAACTAGAGGCATTCTCACGCTAAACCCTGAGCTACCACTATCATTGCATATAGCTCCTTTGGGGTATATATAGATAAGCGGGTTCTTACATAGTGGCATTACCTTGAATGCTCATAGCCGAGTTTCAGACACTGAACAAGGGCTTACTATTTATATTATCATAATTTCAAACACCATTAATAAATAGTATTCCCAGGAATCTTCCTCAAAGCCACAGATTTAATTAAAAAATTATAAAGCTAGAATTTGGGCTTAACTGTAGTATAGGCCTTTGCATAGAAGATGTCAGACAAAATGCCTCATTTAACTCTAAAGCCATCTTTATATCTGCCCTGTATTTAAGGTCCTTTTTGTCTCCTTATTAGCATAAGACACTTCGAACAAGACATATGAGAACACGCAAGAGCTACACATATACTCATTGCAAGACATCCAAATTTAAGCCAATTTAGTTTCAATAAAACAACAGTAGTATAAAGAAAGCAAAAAAGGTAGTGATTCCGGGCTGGTATGTATATGTTTATGCTTTCACAAACTGCTGTAAGAAACTTTTACAAAGCTCCTACTTTTTTTTTCTGTTCATATCCTAGCACTCCAAAGTCAAACTGCTCTCTTTTCTCCCCCTCTAGAAGAGGAGCACAATTAAAGGAGAGATAAGGGAGCACATGTTTGGAAAACAAAAACCTAAAAGGGCAAATAACCCCAAGCTTTCAGAACGGTCTTAAATCAGGATGCAGGTCAAAGATTCCCAAATTAATTCAGGAAGTAGTGGTCACGCATTTCTCAAATGCAGATGTCACAATAACTTAAGTGATTTACTGCTGAGCTCCTCAAAGGAGTCAGGAACTTGAAGAGTATGCACTTCTTAAATTTGCACATTGTTTAGGTTAGAATTGGGCCAAGGAGGTGTAATTTTGTGGTAGAGAGAAAGAAGACAGAAGTATATGCAAATGGTTTTTTGACATGCAAGAATTCCACTCACTTCCGGTATAGTCTGTGGAAAGCTGAAACTGCCCAATTGACACAAAATACAACCAAACATCTGGCCACTAAACATTAGCCATTTTCCCAGAAGGCAGTTCCTTCCTAGTTAGCAAGTAGCCTCGCTTACCCTCCACTAGTGATGTGAGCAACGTGACATTGGCAGCTTTACGTCTCCCTGCTGGCAGGTTTAATCCTATTTTGTCCAGTTTTTCTCTTAAGGATCTTCCTCCATTTTTAGACTTCGCCCTGTTTCACAAAGATGCAAGAAAGGGGTTTATAAAACATTGGCTTCTTCTGCATCCTGTTATAGTAATTTTGAAAGCTTCCTAAATTATGCTTTTCAAACACTGAAAAGCATGGCTACAGAACTTAGTAAAGAAAGCTATGGAAAGTTCCTAGAACTTAAGTGCTTGTTAAACTGCAAAGTAACCCCTGTGTTCGCCATTATTGCAGTTATGATGGCAGGTTGAAAGGTTTCATTTCCCAACTCTCTAAAGAAGAACCACAAACAAACAAGAACTGCCCAGATCTCCAGCATTTGAGGCATTTCTTAGTTCAAGTGTTTTCTGTAGATTTTTTTTTTCCTGTTGGGGAAATCACACAAATCCCAGTGGGGTCTTTAAGTTGTCTTTGCAAGATCCAGTTTAGATTGTTCACAGTAACCAAAGTTATCATCACTCTCACGGGTCTGAGAGTGGCTCTGGCATTTCACCAACAGCTTTTATGCCTTGTCACTGGCCTAACCAGAAACGTCAAAGGCTGATATCAGCCTTTAAAAATCCCACTGATTTCAGGGACAATGGTGGTGGTTCTAAATAGATGTCTAAATAGACTCCCATAATCAGAAAGTGGTTAATATAAATTGTTTAAATAAAACAGCAAATTAATTAATTTCAGATTTTATTCCCTACTCAAGTGCTCTTTAATTGTGTGGATTAGATTATACTCCCCTAGGTAAACAGGCTCTGATATCGGGGGAGGGGGAGCGGGAGGCAAGGAGAAGGCAGAGGGCCTAGAAAATATGTTTCAGGGAAAGATTACAAAGGAAAAGCAAAGTGACCAAGAGAAGGAGGTACAGATCAGACAACTGGTTTAAAAATCTTCCAAATGGCTCTGTTGGGTTTGCGTGGATATACTCCTCAAGGATGGCCAGGGCCTATAGATGCATCAGCAATTTAAAAAATATCAAATGGACTTTTTAAAAACGCAAAGAAAAAAATCTACTTGGGTTAAAGTCTATCAAGGACCCTTCATTTACAACTTTAAGTGAACCTCTCTAACAGGAGGAAGCACCAAGGAGTGAAAAAAAGACCGAAAGTGGTTTACCTTCTTAGGTCCCCTCGAGTCAATTTCGACTCCAAGTGACCCTATGAACAACAGACCTGAAACCTTTACCCTATCCTGCCCCAACCTCATGCTCTCCAACATACTGGAGCCCATTGTTACTGTGTCGATCCATCTCATCGAGGTACTTCCTCTTTCTGGGACCCTTCACCTTTCACAGAATGTCTTTTTTCCAAGGACTAGCAGATCCTCCTGACAACATACTCAGAGTACATGAGACAAAATTTTACCATCCTTGCCTCCAAGCACCCTTAGGAAATCTCATCTAAGAAAGAATCATAGCGACCTCGACCTCAAAGGGGAGGAGGGAAAGAAAGCTCAGCCAAGCGTGAAACAGAAGCAGTCTTTGGTGCCCACTGCATAACAACGCGTTTACACGAGCTTTGCGCTCAGTGTGGCATACATCAGAGTCCGGAGAAATAGGGACAATTACACGCGAGCCTCTGGCCCCAACAGCCGTGGGGCTTGACTGCAGAGGAAGCTACTGACTGTCTGTAGTTAAAAGCCATTTTATTAAAACCCTTCTCGGCGGATGGGCGGTTACGGGTCCACCCGACACTGGGGAAAGACAAAGCTGAGAAGAACTTTTCCTGGGCTTGCAAGGTGAGCGCGTCAGCCGAATGGCGGCTGCACGGCGCCCCGCCGCTGCAGAAACCGGGACTGAGCCCGCAGCGAAGCAAAGTGCGCGTGCGCGCCGGAGCCAGTGGCGCGCGCGTCTGGCCGCCCAGCGGACGCGACGGTGGCATAGAGCGCAGGCGCGCTCAACCTCGCCCCGCCCCCGGCTCCCACCCACTCGGTTCCACGCTATTCTTCCCGCCCCTTTCTTTCCCGGGAAGGGAGGGCGATGGAACGAGTCCTGGTGGTGGCGGCGGTGGCGCCGCCGCCGCAGCCGCAGCCGCAGCCGCCGACGCAGGCGCAGTGTGCCTGGCAGCCGCGGCCGGGTGGGGTCGGGCCGGGCCTCGCCTCACCTCCGGAGTACTCCTCCCAGCAGCGACGCGTTGAGACACTCGGGCGGGGAGAGGCGCCGCTGTACTTCCGCCACCGTGACCTTGTACTTCGAGGTGGAGCTGAGGAGCGAGAGGCGACCCGGAACTGAACAGAAGACTTCGTTGGGGTTCACCACGCCGCCGAAGAGGTTGTCCTTGTTAATAGGAATAGCGGAGACAGCGTTGCTGTTGGACTTGGACAGGGACACAGGGCCTGCGGAGAAAGACGAGGAGGCCTCCTGTGGACAGTGGCCCTAGCTCCCATCCCAACAGAGCCCACCCCCAGCTCTGGAACTAGAATCCCCCAACTCTTTACTCCACCTCTCTTCCACTTAAGCTCGGCCGGTTTTTAGGGGTCCAGCCCTGCCCCACTGTGCACTTCACCCCGCCTCCAGCAAGGCCAGGCCTGCTTTTCTGTCTGGATCCCTTTTTCTCTTAGATGAAGTATGGGGGTCTAGATTTGAATGGTGACAATCGTGACCCTCTTGACTCTGTGCATCCCACAAAAGTGGGCGCCAGACAAGGAGAGCTAGACAAGGGTTAGGGTTCAGGGAAGGAGTTACACTTGTACAAGTTATGTTATGTTGTAGGGTGAGGGATTTAGTGTCGGAAATTGTTCCAAAGACCGATTTATTAAATCATGCTAATGCAGTCTGTTAATGAGCATTTCCGTTAAGGCATACATCTGGGATGTGAGTTGGGTTGTCTCACATCACACCCACCAGTCTTTCTTTCTTTTTAAATCAGTAGGTTCTTTGCTATGCTCACCTCTTGAAAAGATTCAGGTTTTGGATGTCCATTCCCAGCCTAGTTCTGAACTGAGGGAAGGGGTGATGAAGATCAGGCCTACCATAGAACACTAGCAATGTGTCCTTTTGTTGAGCAAGTACTTCTTAGCCCCTCTCTGCTTGAGCTTCCTTTTGAGGAAGGGGGGAGTATTTTCTTTCTTGTTAAAACCATAAACTCTTCACTAATCCACCATTATTTTTTTTAAAATTCAAGCCCATCAGAAAGTGTACAAATGAGTTGCACTTCTCAACACCAATGTAACTCATATGCATTCACAAGTCATTTAAGTATGTATGCATTTGTATATAAAAATTACACATGGAGATATATATAATGATATGCACACATTTTCATCATAGTGCTCCTCCCTTATGCTTTCCTTAATGGGGATATTCTAGATGGAGGGGGGGCGGCCTCTAGGTTTTGGATAGATCACTTGTGACATTAATAGCTCTGGGGAGGCTAATAGAGACAATAGGAGTTAAACGAACTCTTGAGAGATTACTAATAAAAGAGCCAATTATCATGTCGACTTGGAAAGAGCATCTCTTAAGATTTATCCCTTGCACATCTAATTTGATGTGACAAAGACTTCACAGATGCAAAAATGAAACTTTTAAACTAGCTAACAATATACTGATTGGGGTTAGAAATGAGAACAGTTTTATATAGCATCATCCTCTGGTGGTGCCTAGAATCCTGAAATACAGCATTGCCACCTTAACAAAAAAAAAAAAAAAAGCTGCTACCAAGAGTGAATAGCATTTAATCCAATAAACTTTATTTCTGTTCATTAAACACAATGAAAATAAAAAACTCAAATAATGTGCCACTTTTCTAGTTCAGAAAAATTTCTTTTCAGAACAAATGTTACTAATCTTGACATCCTCTGAAGAAAGATGCTAATTTTAACCAAAAGCCAAATATTTGTTAACCTAATTTACAAAGTTTTAAAACCCTTAAACAGCTAACAAGAAACAAACTTAACATGAAACCTTTCCCTCTGCTACTGAAAGCTGATTTTTTAAAAATTATTTTAATTTTACATTATTTGCACTATTTTATCATTACACATTCACAATGGATTAACTATTAAATCATTTCACAATTAAAATGTCACTTCCAAGTCAACTCAAGTAGTGCACATTTTATACATTTACCCAGATATCATTTCATTAAATGGTCAAATCAGGAATCAAAACAAAGCTAGCCTGTTGCCATTACTAACACACAGAAAGCTGATCCTGTAACCATTGCTGTTTTATGCCTATCTGTTTGCTAATTCTGAGCTTTTAGGAAATCCTATTTGAAGGGGGGGAGGAGAAATACAGCTCTGCAAGTTCTTTTAAATAGCACTGTGCCTGTAAGGACATGCTTGGAATGCAGAAGGAAATGGCTTACCTTTCTTAATTACAGTTTGATCTGGGATGTTAATACCCGGGTCTTCTACATGCTGCAACAAAAGGATACACATGGATGTAAGTGTATAATCAAAACAAAAGGAAATGAATATTCTGTGCAAGATATGGGGAGGGGAAGGTGTAGAACCAAAATTTTCCCTCCATATAATGACATTTATATATAAACATCTCATCTTGGCTTATTGAATTTGGGGCTTTGCAACTCAAGAGGTTTCATTGCACAGCCACTGTCTCCTCCCCCAGTTAACAGTCCGCATTTGAAGGGGATGGGAAAGAAGGTATAAAACTTTTTTTTTTGGAAATCAAGTTTTGGAGCATCTAATCTTTCAGAATTGGTTCAGCCTTTAAAAATGCACCCAGTTTTAGTTTGGCATCTTGACACCTTCAGACTCTAGCAATTCCTGTGTTCAGGCAGACACACAATAGAAATAGCAGGGAAGGAGAGCTTTGGAAGCCCTGTGGAAATGTTTTAAAGGGGTACAATAAAAAAGCTAACTGGTGCACACCTTCACTTATGGAAAAGCAGAAACTGGTATCAGGAAGATGAAAACAACCAACAAAAGAACCCTCTCTAGGTTGATTTTTATTTTTTTTGTTATCCAGCAGCAGGTATATTGTGGTGTGTGTTTTTTCCATTATTTAGATTGTTCTTAGAGATGGATGTGTAAGTGTGTGTGTATTTGGTAGAGTAAAAACGTGATTAGAAAGTAAAATGAAATCATGTTTTCTAATGCAGAAACTGACAGGCAATATAATGTCTGGCTGTGTTTACAAATTAGCACCAGGGCTGCTGAGATAGAAGATTTCGCAATCATTACCAAACACAGGCATTACCATTTAAAAAACTATTACTTCCTCCTCTAGTCTTTGTCCAACAATAATACTGATTCAAACATTTTCCATTCTGTCTTGGATTTATGCTCCTGTTAATTGTGCCTGATCGCAATGATTCCGGGTGGATGGTACTAAGTTGCTTTATTACAGGTTTTATTATACTCAATGCTCTCATTTGTAACTTGCCTAAAGTGCTTCTGGATTTAAGTATAATTAAATTGAGAAATGTTCAGAAATGACTACTGCTGCAGTTCTTGTGTTTTAACTATATAGGGAAATATGATCCCTTTATGTATGCACCCTACACCCATAAAGTAAATGTAGTGTGGTATAATACTTTTATTTGTGTTATTTCTAAACCTTGTCCATACAGGGAAGACTGTTAAGTTTAAAATCCCACTGCGATATTAATGATTAAATAATTTTCACCATCAACTTGATTTTCTTAAATATTTAGCAGTCATTCTTATTAACTGTTGATGTGATGGGAAAATTGAAAACAATCCTTTTCCTGACCCAAATTCCTTTGAAAGAACTTTTCTTAAAAGGTGGGGGAGGGAGAGGGAAGAGCAGCAACAGCTTCCTTGTTTTCATTTGATCTTTTGGCTAATTTCTCTTAACTAATTTCACCACAGAGAGAGACTTTACAGGTGTGAAGAATTCACATCAGCTGCCTTGGAATTTTCACAGAAAACAATTCTAGAGCACAACTGTTCCAATGCTTGCAACATTATCCTGCTACTCAGTCCCAAATAGCAAGCAGACAAGAAGCATGATTCAAGAGTCTCTTTGAGAAGAGCTAAAACAACCACAACTTTATTTAACTGAAAAAAAAGAAGCTCTTTTCTAAATTATTATTCTTCTTATATTAAAAAAAGAAAAATTGCAAGCACTAGAACCTAAAACATGAAAGTATGAGAACAGATACATAAAATGCTTACTAAGCTCTACCCTTGAATTAAATGCCTTCTTTCCTGCTTTCCAAGCAATCCTGCTAAATATATACAACAAATTTGAGTGATTAACGGAACAAAATGAGAGATGTCATAAATTTTCTATTTTCCTATGGAAACTAAATGTTTTTAAATTCACCAAGTATGCAGGCAAGTTCATCTGACCATTTCCCTTGCAATCTCATGCAGTAATCATTAAACTGTCAACGGACATACTGCTACAATATTTGATGCAATAATTTGAAATAGCATTTTAGCAAAAATCACATCCAGATACATTTCCTCTCCAAAGAAAAGCAGCTTTAACAGAAGCCTTTACAGCTTTAATAAAATTATTGGCTTGTTCTAATTCCATTTCAGGAAGGTTGTGAGGGAACCATAAATATGGAGGATTGAAGCAGAGATGCTGGTTCAAATTTAATTTTGGAAAGTATTTTCAAATTATCAATAGCCTGGTTTTCATTGTAAATAGTAGATGTGCTAATACCATGCTCATTTAGAAATCATTTTAAACTGCTTTTATTGATAACTAAATCAGAACTCAAATAACGCATTACCCAACAGTTTAAAAACATTTAATTTAATATGGGTTGTAGCAGATTCTGATAGGCATTGGGAACCCAACTAATGATTTATGAGGTCAGCACTTAGCACCCCTAGGAAGAGGTCCCTCTGCTCGGATTTGCTGTTTACTTTAATCAGCATAGTATGTACACATAACTTTTAGGTTTCACTAATGCTCGTAAAATCCTGTTAAAAAATTATTTTCTTAGCATGTCCTTTACACATTTTTGGTTTAATTGCAAGAGCATTTAATGAGGGAAAATTTTCCCCCCAGTTGAATTTAACGTCATTCCCAGAACAGAGAGAAATCCCCACCGACCGAGCAAGCGGTGGAATTAGATCCTATCCCAAACGAAAGAGTTTCCTCTCATCGCCAGGGAATGATAATTGTTAATAGTGACATTCGCCTGATTTATTTCTGTGTTGGTGGAAATGGCAGGGCCGGCATTGTTTGAGAGGCGCTCCAGGAACCATTGTTCTAGGGAAACAGCTCTCAACTACTTCTTTTTTAAGTTCGCTTGTTTGTGTGGTTCCTCATAGAATCTCCACCCTATCCTACCCCCCTCACAAAAAAATGTAATAAAAATACAAAGTGACTATTATTGAGAAAAAGGCCAGACCCCCTGGTTCGATGTCACTCGCACCCTGAGCGGGTGCGTAAGCGCTGCGGTCACCCCTGCGCCCCGCGCCCCCCGCAGCCACTTACCGGGACGTCCTCGATGGCGTGAGGTAAGGAGTGGATCGGGAGGTCTCCGAGTCCTGAGCCGAGCCCGTGCGGGCCATGCAGGAGATCCTCGTGCCGCCGGTAGTCCCTGCGAGGGTCCAGGCCAGACAGCTGGTGGGGCAGCCCCCGGTGCGTGTGCAGGAGGCCAGACTCCTGGCTCTGCCTCTGGCCGGGCCAGCCCGGGTGCTGCGGCTGCGGCTGAGCGTGCAGGGGGTTCAGGCTGTAGGGGTCGTTGACGTGGGAGTAAGGATCTTGCGACTGGGGATAGATGGGCTGGTAGGGCGGGGGGAAGTAGGGAGGCTGGAAGTCGGCATTGGGGGTGTGGGACAGCGGCGGGGCGCTGGTGTAGGGAGATTGACCTACAGTGCCCAGCTGGGGCAACCGTGCAGTCCCGTTGCTGGTGCCGTCGTGACGGTCCTGGAAGAGAGGAGAAGGGGAAGGCATAAGAAACCAGGCAGCGAGTGAGTCGTCCACACTAAATGCAAAGGGCTGGACGCAGGTCTGTAGCCCAAACCAGCTCTAAATTGTTAATTTCGGAAAATACCCCAAGAGTAAAAGGACCCTTCCAAAAATGTGAGGGAATACAAGAATGGGTGCACAAGAGACCTTCCATGGGCATTTCTTTCAACGTGTGTGTATGTGTGTCTGTGTGAGAGAGAGAGATGTTACAAAAAGGCCTCCTGAAATTCAGCCCGTTACCCTGAGGCGTGGAACCTCCTTTAAGCAAAATTAAAATTCCTCCTAAATATTAAACAGCCAAAGCGGCCTTTTCTCTCTTTCTTGCCGAATTTGAACCTGCCTGCCACTGTTATTGTTTATTCTGTTCCATTTATTTGGAAGGGGGGGAAAATCATAAACGTTCAAAGGCTGTTACCATTTCATGACTATTTAAATAGAAACATACTTCGCAGAGGGGCTGTAACGAACGCACACGTTTAAATTACTAGCTCAAAGGTTTTAACTGCAGGAACGGGGTCTGTCTTTTCTGCTTCCTCGGGAGCCTTTTTCTCGACAGGGTCGATTTACGATATGGATAAGATGATGGTGGGGGACGGCAAATCAAGGTTGAAAATAGATTCAGCCTTATTGGGTTTAAAGGAGAGAGGTGCACCCCAGGGCGGAGGCCCCCGCTCCTTTCACCCGAGCCCCAAAGGGCAGAAGAAACGCCTGACTTTATGTGCCTCTCTAGCAATTTGCTTGAGGGGGGGGGGGGGAACGAACGGAGTTGATTCCAGGGAATGTAAACCCTTGGAGGTTCAGCTGCGGGGCCCCGGGGTAGGAGGCACACTGGGCTGCGTTTCTAACCCCCCTGCAGACGGATTAAATCTCAAATTTAGAAATATCTCCCGAACAAATGAACAAGCGAGGAAATAAAGATGAACGCAGTGAGAAACACGCCTTGAGAAGCCGCCGGGAGGTAGGTCTGCGTGCGGGGAGAGGCCAGGAGAAGGGCACAATGCAATCGGAATTAGAAATGGGAAAGAGCCGGAGAGGAAAGGGAAATGCACATGAAAAGGGGTGCCCTGAAGGAAACCTGGTCCCTACACCAGAGCTCTCTGCCAGCTTCGAGGACCCAGGTTTCCAGAGCTGAATTCCTAAAGAAACAGAGATGGGAGGGTGGGGATGGGACTCACCATAGCTGAAAAACTGTGAACTAACATCTGCGAAGAGTCTGGGGTAACGAGTCAGGGTGGAAAAAATCCAGCAAGGCTGGAGAGCCCGGCGCCCCTCCGCCCGAGCGCGCCCCACACAAAAGGCGCCGCGAGCCCTGCGCCACCCACGACTCGAGTCAAGGCGCCGAGGCTCCGCCGAGCGCGGGCGCCCCGCTCGGCTCCATTCGAACTCGAACCGCTGATTCGCGCGGCGCCTTCAGTCAGTCGGACCCACCGTCTCTATCCCAGCGCGTTAGGTTCGGATTCAAAGTTCTTTCACCAAAAATTAGCAACCCCAAACACGGAAAAATGAATAAAGAAAAAAAAAAGTGGATGTGGATGTGTGTGTGCGTGCGTGTGCCTTAATCCGTGTCTCCCCCTCTTTTCTCAGCGGCGGCTTCGCTGGAGCTTCTAATACCCACGCCGGGCAGCGTTCCTGGAGCCTCCTAATAGCAGATATTCATGACTATTAATATGACACGAATACTTAATAAGGGAAGAATGCCTGGAAATGCAGCGTGAAGCGGCGAGGCCACTCGCGCCGAAGCCGGCTCTCAATGCAGTCCATTGACGGCGCCCGAGTGTAGCAAATCGGAGGTGGGGCGAGGGCGCGCGCGAGACAAAAAGCGGGCGGGCAAGGGAGCGGGCGAGCGCGCGGGGGGCCGCGGCGAGGCGGCTGGCGAATCACAGGGAAGGGGCAACATTTTAAAAGGTGGCAGGGCAGGCAAAAGTGAAAGAGAAAGAGGGAGCGAGGGAGGCAGCGGAGAGGGAGAGGAGAGGG